CAGGGCTGTGGGCCCTGCCGATCCCTCTGCAGCAGCACCAACTGGCTTGGACCCGGCAGCAGCCACACCCACCTGCCAGACCTCCTGCAAGGCTCACAGGTGGGCACAGCCAGCCCCCGTGCCCCTGCTGCCCGACTCTGGCCTCAGCCACCCACTGGCTGGCCAGGAACTGCTGCACACACACACACTTGGTCCTCCAGCACCTGTGCACTCAGAGCCCCTCAGAGGCTTGTCTCTGACCGAGGGCCAGTGATGTGATGACCTATGGTCCTGCATCCCCACAGTGTCACGAACAAGACATGCACCAGAGATATAAACCCCTGTGACCCCGAGGGGACACAGACCTGGATGGGGGGTGGGGGCTAAGGTACGGGTGGGGAAGGAGGCCGCCAAGAAGGCCACAGGGTTTGAGGAAGCAGGGAGGTTCAGGGTACACCCATGGAAGCCCCACATTTGGTCACCTATGGGACACAGAGAGAAAAAGAATGACATAAACCTAAGACTGAACCTAGGGCCTCACTTTAACATGGTGTTACATGCCCAACCCTTTTTAGACTTGCATTTTGAGATGCCCTCATTAGGTCCCCTAGCCTGGCCAAGGCTGAGGTTACAGGTGTGTGCCACCTTGGCCAACTGATGTTTCTTTAGAGCACAACACATCCAACACTCGGGGGCTTCACAATGCAATCCATCAGGCCAGGCTGGAGGGTGGGCGTCAGCCAGCAACACAGCTCCACCTTGCATGCACCCAGTGCAAATGCACACACACTTGGGTACCTAGTCTACTCATTTATTCCAAATTAAATGACGAGTGCCTGTAGCCCCAGGTACTTGGGACACTGAGGCAGGAAGCTCACTTGAGTGCAGGAGCCTAAGGACAGCCTAAGCAACACAGTGAAACTTTATTGTCAAGTAAATTGTTTCAAAATAATAATTCAGAAAGTCAAATCAATGCCAGCAACTCATGCTTCTGCATCTATCATGCCCTTTGCTAAACCAGGCAAGGCAGCCTTCGTAGGGCCAAGGAGCAGGGAGACACCTTCCCCTCTGTCCCAGAAAGAGGCCTGCCCCTTACTCTGCCCAGGCCCAACCCCTGCTGCCCATTCCCTGCTCCTGGAAAGGCAGCCGGGAGGGAAGTCTTGCCCAGACTTCGGGAGCCCAGTCCTCCTGTCTGCGCCGCCCCAGGTATTTCCCGGCCTCCATCCACCTCACGACCCTGAAAGCATTCTAGCCAGGTCATCTCTGTGACTCAATGTAGAAATGCCTTTGTTATTTTTCTTATACCCATTTATGGCAAGGAAATTCAGAAAATAAAAGTAATCTGTACATCTGCCTACTCCACTGTGTTGTTTGAGCGTGCATGGGAAGTTTCTATCCCCATCAGCCTGCTCCTACCCCAATGTCCCAGGCATCCGCAAGGAAGCTCCTGGCCACACCATCTGATCACAGGGAGCAATGAGCAGGGGCTCGGCCAGCCAGACACCCTCCTGCCCCTCCCCACCCTATGACAGGTCTGCACATTCTGGGTTACCCGGGCCCCTGGCAGGCCGGCCCATCCTGGAAGGGGCTCAGCCAGCCAGACGCCCTCCTGTCCCCCAACACTGCAGCAGGCCCGCACACTCTGGGCCACCTGGGCTGCTGGCAGGCCAGCCTGTCCTGACAGGGGCGGAGGTTCTCCAACTCTCAGGCTGACCTGGTGCTCAAAGACCTCAGAAGGAAACAGGCAAGGTCATGGCCCAGTGGGTGGTGCCCTGTGGATACAGGCACAAGGAGCAGCAGGATCAAACAGGAAGGGTATCAGGGAGTGGCCTTTGTCCACCGCGCAGGGACACGTGTGCCTCACTACCTGGCCAGGCCCTATGCTCACGACCACACAGCTGAGCTCTTGGCTCAGACCATCAGCCAGCCCAGCACAGGGAAAAGGGCAAGATGCCACTGTGTAGCCTCTGGGTGTACCTCTGTACACCCACTTGTACTCAGTACTGCCTACACCTTGGGCACCTTGTGGGAAGACTGTCCCTTACCCAGCAGACACTCACATTGGACACAGGTCTCAGATGGGCACCACAGTGCAACACTTCCACCAGAGCGGCACCTGGTGACCCTGCACTGGGCAACCTGCCCATCTGGCCCACACCTCCCCTCTACCCTGAGTGTGGTCCTTCCTACTCTGAGCCTTGGGTTTAGCTGTAGGAACCTCAGCAAAGCTGGAGTGAGAACACCCCACAAGGGTGATGACACTGCCCAGGCCAGGAGCTGGGGAAGCTCCCTGAGGCTGTGACCAAGGGTATCTGACTCATGCAAAAGAATGCTACGGCACACCCTCCTGCTCTCTCTGGATACCAAGCACCCAGATGAGGCCACAGCTGCTAAGTGCTTCTATGCCAGAGAAATGACACCAGCCATGTGGGAAAACAGACCTGGAACCTGGGCCACTGCTCACTGGATGGTCACTTTGCAAAGGTGGATCACCTGGAGGCCACGGGGAAGCCCCACTCCAGCTCAGGCACAGCGAGACGCAGCCGCCACACCAGCAGAGCATGGTGAGGAGGGAGGGGAGCCACCTGGGCACCCTGTCCTCCATCATGAATCCCAGCGGGGAGTGACTGCCTACCTTACAGCATCCAGGCGCTTGTTCTGCCGCACGAGCTCGATAAACTCCTGGATCCTGAGGCTGAACTCCAGGCAGCTCTGGGGACAGATAACAGGACGCTAGGATGGCAGCATAGGCCCCCAGACTGAACACTCACATGTTCCCAATGCTTACACATCCCAGGTAGGCCCTTTAGAGGATGCCAGAACCCTGAACAGGCATCACCCTACAGCAAATGCCTCCTGAAGACCATGGTAGCTCTGTAGCTCCTGGACCAGATGTGGTGTAGACACAAGGACATACCATGGCAGTGTGTGAGCTGTTTATCACCCTGGAGCTGTAGGGTACTGAGGCCAGGAGTCACCAAGTATGGGCAGCAGCCAGAAACCTGGGAAAGAACTGCAGCTCTCACCAGCGGTACATGGTGTCCGGCTCACCCTGGATCACCCCAGTCATGTGAAGCTCTAACTTCTACCCCAAAGGCCTGCCGGGCCACAGGCCCAGTATACTTCCTGTGCACTGCCCACCCATGGAGCTGGTCTGGGAGATTGGACAAAACCTCATCTCGATGCCTGCAGGAGACAGTGATCCAGTGGTAGGTGCTGGGTGAGCCAGACCAAGATGGCTAATAGGAAAAACTAAAGATGGCCAAGTGAGAGAGTCAGGCAGATGTCAGGGGAACACTGAAGCAGTGTCCATCACCTTCCTGGAGCAGGAAGCTCCCGCCTGACCTGGAAGTTGCATCAGCCAGGACCAGGTAAGGTAGAAGAGATGGTTGTCATGAAGGCAGGAGCCCCAGGACCTGTACAGGTCAAGAGCCCAGGGTCAGCCTATGGGAAGGGGGCTCCACGACAGAAGTGGGGAGGCGTAGGCAACTGGGGGGCCTGGTGTTGACTGTCTAAGGGCTGCAGGGACTGGGGGATGCTACTGAGCACAGGGAAGGCAGTCTGTGAGGAATCTGCTGCGTGGATCCAATCTGGGCAGGAAGGGTAGCTGGAGTTGGGTAGCATGACCTCCAGAGCTCCAGGGAAAGTAGGTTCCACAGCCTGTGCTTCTACTAGAAGTAGCCATCAAGGGGCAAGCAAGCCATAGGGCCCCACCCACAATCCATGCCCCCTACACAGCAGGTGGGTCAATCAGCCCAGCACCTACATTGACACCCTAAGACTCCTTTTTTTTTTTTTAAATTTATTTATTTATTTGTGTGTGTGTGTGGCCAGCTCAGCCCACCAGGGGGCGGGGCTGGCTGGCATGTGGTGCTGGGGGATTGAACCTTGGGTCCCTGTGCTTTGCTAAGCTTGTTCTAAGTAGGTGCTCCAGACCAATGAGCCATCTCACCAGCCCCCTAAGACTCCTAATAGCTCATCTATGCCCTCAGTGCCTAGGGACCCCTCACTACTCCCAATCTCCCCATAGCCAGCTCTAGCCAGGCCACCACTTGCCTACTGTCTGCATGCCACTCCATACCCATAGTACAACCACACAAGGACACCTATCACCTGGTTCTTGTCCCCTCTGTACCAGGCAGAAGGGCAAATGGCCTACTCTAAGCCAGCCAGGAATCTGACTACCAAGAGTGAATTTGTGGGACCAGGGAGAGGACAGTGCACTGCAGGGATCTGGGAGGGGTCTATGGGTGAATGGACAGCAGCAGTGCCCCTACCACAAAGCCAGACCAGCAAGGGACAAGGGGGCCCCATTCTCCTGGCCTGGTCTGATTCCTGGGGCCCCTACTGGGAGCGGCAGCTGCAGTGAGGCCCAGCAGTGGACTCTGCCTAAAGCAGGAAGGAGCCAGTGCACAGAGCTCTGCGAGGAGTAGCACTGTGTCTACACTGTCCTGGCTGCACAGTTCCTGCAGACACTGCCAACTGCATGTCTGTGCAGTGGGGACTGGCTCAGCCCTAACTTACAGGGCCTCAACACTTGGGCCTCTGTGCCTTCGCTTATGTGTCTTAGAGATATACACCACCCATGTCCCCAATCCAACGTCCCTCTGGAACTGGGTACTGGAGTCAATTCAATGAACAATCACTTGTCTCATTACTTTTAAGTTCACTTCCAACTCAGTGGAACTCTGATATTAAAATTCCTTTTCCCAAAGGATGTTCCTGTGTCAGTGGGACCTGTGAGTAACAGAGTGGCCCTCCCAGCTCCTGGCCTCCTCAGTGTGCATACATGCCGCAAGTACACGTGCACTGCCTCAGCTGCCTTCTGCCTGACCTCGCGGACACGGGATGGAGTCCTGCTCACCACTGTGCCACGCAGACCTGCCCGCCTGGGGCTCCCCATGCCCACACATGCACCCACTGAGGGCCTCAAGACACACTGAGCACCAGGTCCTGCAGAGAGAGGACTCTTGCTGCACAGGAACTGCCCACGGGCAGAGTCTCTGCGAGGAGGCGTGGAGCTGTGCATCACGAGGATTACAAACTAATTCTGCTTTCCTTTTAGTGTTTCCACACCAAAGTTCTCAACCCCTTCAGGGGAGTCACTGGCGGAGCTGCTACTTTTCCACCCATCTGGCTGTGCTTGCCTTGGTGGCCCTGAGTGCCACACTGCGTGTCACCCCTGATGGGCTCACCCAGGGTGCAGAGCAGGCTCTTCCGTGGAGCTCTGCAGGGCTGTGGATGACAGTCAGCCCTTCGCAAGCCTGGGCACGACACCATCCTGCAGCGCACTGCTCAGTCTGTAGCTCTGACAGCTGCTATGGCCTCTAGGAGTGTACACTGATGGAACCACAGTCCACAGCACCGCAGCCTGCGGGATGACAACCTCCGGGAACTCTGTGGCTGTGAGTGAGGGCGTGCAGGTCCACTGCCACACCGCATACATGTAGGGTCCACACCAGCCCTGCTGCTCCCAACCTCCCACAGACCTTGCGCAGAAGCAGCTCCTCCCTAGGCCCCACCCAGGGAGCCCCCAGCACCTTCATCTTCCGGAGCCGGGACTTGTTGTCATGGCACCAGGCCAGGCAGGTGGCCGTCTCACGCCTCTCTAGAGACTCCTCCACTTCTTTGGCTGTCAGGAACATCTCAATATTCACCAGGTCCTAGGGAAGGGGCAGCTGCTCAGCACATTGGGCACTGGCCCTGTCTTCCCTCCACACCCAAGTCCCATGAAGCCAGTCCACTAGGCTGTGCTCATAGTAGGTGCCTCACACAGGTTGGTTACCTCCTGCTGCAGGAACCAGGTCACACCTGGGTACCAGTCTCCTGGCCCCAGGATGGAGTAGAGTCCCATGGGTTTCTAGCACAGGACAAAAAGCCAAAAGGAGACATTTGCTTTCTGTAGCAGAAGCTCCCAGCTGATAGGGGAAGGCAGTACCTCTAACTGTAAAACCTACAGCATAGCAGCAGGAAGCAGAGCCTCCTGGGACATACCCAGCTCTGAGGGCTTCTTTGCAGCCCACTAGGATGTCAAGATGCTCACATGGGCCAGGAAGATAGCTCAGTGGAATAAGTGCTTGCCTGGCAAATGCAAGGTCCTGAGTTCAATTCCTGGTACCACCAAAAATAAAAATAAAAAATAAAAGATGCTCCCAACAGGACTGTCCAGGAGGCAGTCATGGGTGGTGGCACATACCTGTAATCCCAGCACCCAGGAGGCTGAGGCAGGAGGATCACTGCAAGTTTGAGACCAGCCTGGGCTACAAAGTCAGCTCAAGGCCAGCCTGAATTGCATATAGAGACCCTGTTTTTAAAAAAGACAAAAAAAGGAGGGAGGGTACAACTAGGAGGCAGATGGGCACCCCATACTCCGCCACTGAATATCCTGTGTCTGTGCAGTAGCAGAGCAAAAAGGGCTCTGCCCAAACATGCACAGTCACCAGTCCATGTTGCACTAAGCCTGGCCCATCTACGCCCTCTGCCAAAAGACCCAGACAAGAGCAACCAAAGCTCATTTTCTGTTGTTTTTTTTTGTTTTTGAGACAGGGTCTCACCATGTAGTTTAGGCTGGCCTTGAACTCACAGGCCTCAAACTCATTGTAATCCTTCCTGCCTTAGCCTCCAGAGTGCTGGGGTTACAGGTGTGTGCCACCATACCTGGCTACTTCTATTCATTCTGGAGGAGTACTAGGGATGAGCGAGGGCTCCCCACTCTAGGAGAGCCCGGCTCTGTGGGATAGGGACAACAGCAGCCACGTCTGATGTGCTTGGGAGGCCCATTGCAGGACCAGGCTCCGGGGACCAAGGGTTCTCTGCAACCAGCAAGAACCATGACAGGCGAAGCAGTGCCCAGTCATCACGAGGAAGATGGGGAAGCAAAACCCTCAGAAGCTGCTTCTCCTGCACCTGAGCAGAAATCAATTCTGGCCGGTGAGATTGCTCAGCACCAAGTGCCATCCTCAGTTCCCAGCTGGGCTGTGGGCGCCCTGCCCCAGGCACTGCACTTGCAGGACATGACAGCTCTCACTCATGCTATGATGGCTGAGTCTGCCCAGCAGCACAGGGCAGGGCACATGAAGCTCACACAGCCTCTCTACAGTGGAGACCAGGCCATAAGCAACACGGTCTCTGCCCAAGTCTTCTCACTAATATTTTCCTGTGTCTGATAAGCAGTGAGTGCAAGCTCAAAATCACACTTTGACCACTTTGGTCAGGTCACACTCCTCCCAAGAAAGCAAGGCACGCTGATAACAATGCACCAGGGAATGACAGTCGAGAGCACGCGCTGCTTGGCGTGCTGGCTGGCTATGTTTAGCTTGGCCATTTAGCCTTCTGCAGAAGGAAAGCCTTGCCAAAATACTTTCAAGGTTTGTTCCTTTGTCCTTTTACACCAGAAATTTTGTGTCTGCCACAGGACACTCAGGGTCTGGTACCACCTTCCTAGAGCACCAAGCACCAGGCGAGCCTTTAAGAGCTGCCGTAAGCATGAGGATCCTGGGCCCACAACAGTAGGAGCTTGGGGCCCCCCATATTCTCTCCTAGCAGATGGCAACTCCAGCCACCTGGTACTTTCTACCTCTCTTCAGTGCCCCCTGTGCAGCTTGATGCCCACAGCGACCCTTTACTCCTTCATGGCAGGCTGTGGGCAATCACCTCGGGTTGCAGGGAAAGCATGGCCAGGTGTTTGGGAAGGCCTTAGATGCCAAGGTGGGCAAGGGAGGCAGCAGGGCCTGGCAGGAGGGAGGGGAGTGGATACCAGAGTGAGAGCACTGGGTCTGGACTTGGAAGTTTCAGAGGGCCAGGGACAGAGAGGAAGTCTGGGCATATGGCTCAGCAACACCAGATGGGAGAACTGAGAGCTGCCCACAAGAGCCCCAGCTGGGACACATCACCTGCTGGGGGCACCACACCCCATAGCTTGCAGCTGAGCCAATGCAGCCAAGCCAATGCAGAGCACACGTGGCACAGAAGCTCTGACAGTCAAGGAGCTGAGGGACTCAGCCTCACTCGGCACCAGTGGCTCCTACACCAGCAGGCACCTCTGGCTACAAGCACCCCACAGGTAGGGCTGGCTCCAGCAGAGCCAGACTTAGAGAATGTCCTGCTTGTGAGAAGCCAGGGCCCTGACAGGGAGCAGATGGGAATGTCTGTACACACCCAGTGGGATGCAGCCCAAGGTAGGGGACCTGAGGTGTGGAGTGCTGCCCACCTCAATGCCACTCTGGCGAGCCAGCTTCACGGCTGTGTTGTAGTAGCCACAGCGCAGCAGGTGCTCCACCATCATGCGGTCCATGCGCTTTCGCTTCCACAGGCTGGCTGCCGCTGGCTGGTCACTGCTGTGCTCCTTGAGGTGCTCGATCCGACGCTTGCACAGCTTGGCACTCTCATCCTCTGCCTGGATGGACTCCACTGCCTGCCACAGCAGAGCCATGTCGGGATGGGAATGCCCACAGCCCCACGGGAGAACGGGGATGCAGGTGCCACTCCCGAGGCTCCTGAGCAGATCAGCAAGGACAGCAGAAGCAGAGCTGGGGGTGTCACTGGATGGCCAACAGAAATCAAAGGGGCAGGGCTAGACGTGTATCTGCAGATGAGTGTACATCTGGCTGGCAGGCAGGGGAAGCTCCACCACCTAGTGTAGGCGCCCTTGCTCAGGGGTGCTGGTTTGTGCTCTCCGCGCTAAGCTGTGCTGCCAGGTGCAGGAGATTTAAAATCTGCTATCTTGCCCTGTCAACATTTGTCACTATGAAGTGACTTTTAAAATTTTTTCCATTTTTTTTTCTTAAAAAACCCCTAAATTACAATATTTTCTAACTGGACTACCCAGCGCCACTGCTGGAACGGTGCCAAAGGTGGTGCGTGCACTGAGTAGAGGCCTCAACCTCACAGCTTGTGAACAGACCACAGCTGGCTGTAGGCCCACTACGGAGAGAAGCCCACCTGAGCTACTGTTCCCTGGCAGGGTCTTAACCTGGGTTTCTGCATCACCAGGTGAAAACCTGTGATGCCTCTCTGCCAACACTGTTCTGCTTCCCCTCCTGCTCCTGCACTCCATTGGGCCCAGATCCTATCAGAGGCTCCTCTCTACCCCTTTCCTCCCCTCGTGTGCACTTCTACCTTCTCTGGGCTGCGTTTAGACATCTCAGACTCATGCTCCAGCTCACCAACTCCTCTTTGAGCTCTGTCTTGCTGCTAACAGGTAAACTCAGAAGCAAACTCTATACTTTCATCTTGGTTGTTTCATATACACAATCCCGCCCCGCCTTTCCCCAGTGGAGCTTAGGGTCAAACCCAGGGCCTTGTGCATGCTGGGCAACACCTGCCACTGAGGTGTATGCTGTGGGTGCTGCAGGTCTTCTGTGGGCTTCCATCAGGTCCTTGCTTTCCATGGCCCAGAACCACTGCCCCTCATCTCACCTCCTGGCCAAAGCTCCTGGGCAGCAGCAGCCCCTGGTCTCTTCAACTCTTCAATTGGGCCAGTGATTTCTTTATGCCCCATGAGCTGGCTGGCCTTTCCAGAAAGGCGTTTCCAAGCACCTTGCTTTGTGGCTATGTGCAGTGGTAGAGTAGTCTACATGCCCTAGCCCACCAGTCCCAGGAACCCCAGGTCCATTTCTGGGGTGAAATTCCAAAAGTAACAAAGCAAGCTGCCACACACCCAACTTCCCCACTGTCTGGGCTCAGGGACAACCAGGGATCACCAGGAGGACAGCAGCACCCACCTTCCGCTTGAGGACACTGAGCTTTTCCACCACACCATCTAGGAGGCTGACCACTGAGTCCACAGCCGGGCAGCTGCTCAAGGTCTTCTCCAGCTCAGCCACCACCATGGTTACGTGGCTCGTCTCCCGGTCAATGTTCTTCTGGGCAGCTCGGAAGCGTTTATTCAGCGTCTCATAGGGCACCTGGACAAGGAAGGACAATGTGAACCAATGACCTTCATCATACCCAGGCCACATAGTACTCAAGCTCCTCACGGAGCCTTCAGGGCAACTGCCGCCGGCATCATCAGGTCTCACTGAGAATGTCCAAC